TTTGGGCCTATAACTAGCATCTTGATTATGTATACTCTTTCTTTTAATAAAGTCAGGGAAATTGAACCAAAGTCATTACGATGAGCTGGCCATGTAGCTCGGAAACACAAAAGTTTAAACATGCGGAGACGGGAAGGTAGGCATAACAACTGCTGAATTGTATTTGAAGTATGCCTAGGGCCTGTAAAATTTGACAGATTTGTTACTGAAATAACGACGGGCTTAATTGCGAATATTTGTACCTAAATAGGGAATTTAGTTTGGGACTTGATTTGTTTTGCTACAAAATGACACTTCAACCGATTCTGTAAGCTTTCTGATTAAATTTCTATACACTTTCAAAGCTGTAAAGTTCTTTTAGAATCACCCTGTATATGCCTAAAGAAGACATTTCTTGATAATCAAATGATGTCTGTTTTCACTCATCTCCGGATGCAGTGACCGGCTGTGGTCTGCATTGACGTTGGAATCCGCGTTGGGACCTCAATTATTGTTTGACCACTTTTTAGAATCGGCTCTGGGTCTACCCAGCATCCTATCCACTGGGCGTGGGGGCTTCTTACCATGAGTTACAACGGCCGAAACGTGAAGCTTGTCACCTCAAATTGTTGTCGAGGTCATGAATTCGTTAACTTATTAATCGGACCCCCCCCCCAAGGTGCCTACGTTGTGGTACTTAATTAGATACTGAGAAAGTATACCTTTAATTACTTTTATCTGTATGCGGAAATGTTGGCAGAAATTACAAATTAACAATTAAGCTTTACAACGCTGATACGCTGCTGTGAATAATTTCCGTCAGTATAGATTTTCACTATCAGAAGTTCGTGAGCTAGGCTATATTGCGAAATACTTGGACCGCCAGCCCTGTTTTTAATTTTAAAAAAACCCACAAAAAGTTCATTTCATGCAACACTTTTATGCATGTCTGTGATCTATCAGCATACGAAATTGTACATGTGGTACAAAGGTTTAATCAGTGTTTGATATCAAACGAAAAAATATTACAACGATTTCTGTTGGTTCTAGCGTTGTACACTCTACGCAGAAACGACCATAACACAACTTACATATTATTCGAATGCTTGTCACAACACTTCAGCGCTAGTGTCGCTTCCATCTGGTAATTTACTCGACTGCCATCTTAGACATACCGATCACAGGACAAGTGACTGGTGTGTATTCCAATTAATATTGCAATGACACTAACTTAAATCCAATGAAAGCCCATAATTTGTTTGATGTATTAAGGGAGACATGCGTACTATGAAAACTGGGTGGAGAGAATTATCTGTGTATGAATAGTAAGATTATGTTCAATTGATTTGAGCTCCGAGCATGTCTGAGAATTTGTTCGTGGCGACAGAGCGCCTAACTTTTCAAGTCCTGTAGTTGCTTTACGACAGAGTTTCATGTATACCACGTAATTTATATACGGTGATGCTTGAGATTCGTTAAGCACTTGAACTTACTGAAGTTGGCCGTGTAACGTACTGCTGGGTCTTGGCTACTTAACTAACTGACCAGACTTCCCCATTCGCTAAAAGCACAATCTTTTAATTTCAGTTCAGTGGCTTCTGCAAATATGTCTGCTTAGAAAAAAGACCTACGGAGGTCTTGCGTCTTTACAAATATTTCCATTTCTATGATAAAACACAGTATAATTTTATACCAAGACGAAAAGCTTCATATGCGAGATTGAGGATTTCCCTTGTGGTTACCAGATTTTCGGAACAACTTATCGCCCCCATCTGAAGGATAAAACAAAGACTACTAAGGGTTACAACGCTAAAGTCCGTATTATCCTATACAGGTTTCGAAATTTATTATTAACCCGCCATTGAATAAAGCTGACAAGTCACTGAAACGATAAAAGGATAAGAACGTAGATTGAACTGATTTTGATTTTTTCCTAGCGAGTAAATATAAGGCGTATGATTTGAGGTTTTCACAGCGGTGAGTATGAAGATTTCTGTCTCTGGGTTGTTGCGCTGTGTAGTCTGGTAGATGTTTACCAACGTTTCAGAGGTCATACTGCCTCCGTCATCAGGGCGATGAATTCATCTACCAAACTATACAGCGCAACAACCCAGAAGACAGAAATCTAAATATAAGACGTCTGGAAATTTACCCGCCAAAATAACTACTGGGAAATCGAAAGCTGTAGATAAAACGCAGAGGTAATACACAGTTTGAACATATATCGTAGGTTATACATTGCATTTCTTGGTTAGTATGCAATGCAAAGTCTATGGCACCTCTGTAAACAGTCGGTTTCAGACTAACAATTAAATCTGTAAGAAAGAAAACAAAGTTTAAAACATATATTTACATATTATGGTGAAATTTGTGCAAACTATATACATTATATTGCAATTCGCTTGTTTGCTTTATTAATAAGATTAATATTAAAATAATTAGGTAAGAATCGGTGAATAAAATTGTGTTGAAGAGATACGCTTATGTTGATGAAAGACTCTCGGGTTACAAGCCGCGTCAGGTGGCTGAACGGTGAATAAACTACATCTTCTGCCAACGTTTCGAGAACAGTCTTTGCTCTCATCCTCAGGGCTGCTTGGCAACCACTTTCGGGTGTCTTTCATCAACTTCAGTCGCCGCGAAAGCTTTACTTTATACGTCTGATACGCTTATGTTTTTACATTGACTACAGGCTAATAGTTATTTAAAATTATTACCAACCATTCAACATTTTATCTAATTTAGACTTCCTTAAAATACGGAAGTGCACTTTTATCTTCTTCTGTTATTCTCCTGTTTCACTTTCTTCTCCCGTCTTCTCCCTTGTTTCTGCCTGTACTTCTTTTTGGCTATTCTTGTGGCAGAAAGGAACAATACAGAAGGAAATAACATAATTTCAGGGGTGTCACTTAATGTCGCACAAGATTAAGTGGCCTGAGTGTTAGGATGTGAACGTTAAATAAGTATGTCCAGACCCGGGTTCAGACCCTAAAACCAGCACACAGAACTCGCTCGCTAACATCAGGAATCAAAATTCCTATCTCACATCGTCCTGATGAAGGAGGCAGCAAGAACATCTTAAAGGCTACTAAAATTCTGCTTGTCTACGCGCCTGTACAACCCTGGAAACAGACATCTTCATAGTCACCACCGTGAGAACTTCAAAATTTACTTATTTCACACATTTATTTGCGGTCTTAAAATTTACCCAATAAAAGTTATTAGAATTCATGTTACAAACTTTGGTATTTTTCGGAGAATTCTGCTACAGAAACATCAAATGAGAACAGTAGATAATATTTCAGTTTCCTGGAATCACTTCTAATTACGAAATTCGTTGAACCTCGGGCTATTATTAAAATATTTTTGTGCACGACCAAGTAAAAATGTCAATTGTAATTATTTAAATCAGTGGTAACTGATGTTAGGCAATTATCCGGAGGGTGGCTCAAAATACTGTGCATTGATAGTGTGGTCAGTGGTTTAACGCCGAACAGGCAAAGTTTGTTAATTTCATTATTTGAATGCAATATGTTAAATTTTAAGTTAATATAGCGTGAATTGATAGAATAATTATTGTGAATGATTGATAAGAAGTAATGTGTGAGTATATCGTGGGCTAATTGAAGGCATTTTGTTGGATCGAAAAATAGGATGCAGTAATGTTTTGTTAAAATTAGTGAATATTGTAGTAACTTAAAGGAGTACAAGGACAGTGAGATAAAACAAGTTGTGATGAAAACTTATTGTTCCAGCTTTCCATGAAGCCTTTCAGTCTGTGCAGTGTCTGCATCAATTAGAAGTTAATAACCAAAATCTCTGCGTCATTTATTTAAGTATATGCTCTTTTCACGTTGAAATTGACCGATTACAATATCCAAGATTTGCATCATCGCTATGTTAGTAATTGTTAACACATATGACAGTGGTTTACACTGAAATTATCGGAATGTTTTTGATCTAATTCCATACGGAATTTCAAAAGCCTGGCACAAGTGTTTCATCAGTTACCACCGTCAGTCTATTAGCTAAATATAGACCTCGAACTGTCACTGTCATGTTGTTTTACGCTCGTACATTCTGCAAACGATGTCCTTCATACAAATTACATTTTATTCGAAGGAAGGTCAGGATCGTTAGCTAATATCGGTTCTGGCTCAGAAGTTCATACTTATACGATGTTCGTATAACAAATAACCTCTAGCCCCTAATTCCATAGTGCAAAGTTCGTTCTGAAAAGCTGATAGTCGCTAAAGTATTCCCAAAATTCCTCGCCTTATATGCAATGGAAGTGGTTCATGTCGAGTTGAAGCAAAAAGTGAAAGTATTGTTTCAAGCAGACCGTAATTTAAGTGACCTTCAAAAAGTATGAACGCTAGTGAATCTTACGCGTGGTAATTCTTGCATAATAGAAGTGTTCTGTATGAATTTTTATCGAAATCTCTCAAGGGATTCAGTGTATAGACTGATCTGTAAGTAATCTGGGCGTTAAAAACTAAGACAAAATCAGAATTTCTTGACAACATTTAGTATAGGTGTATCTTATCCTATAGGTCTAATAATTTGGTTCCGCTAAGAGAGGTCAAACATGAACAGAACAGATGAATTTTTAATGTATTTCGAATCACGCGTTAAGGTGTAGTGCATCCATAGGGAAATTTCATTTATATTTTTTGGACATAATCCTTTTTTATTACAATGTTCAGGAAATAACATTAACACCTAACACTTCATCAGACGCCTCAACATTCACGAAGCTAACGGACAAACACTTCTGACACACGTTTCTTAGTTCCTTGTTCTATACATTTATAGAAAATGTTATGAGCATCTGCCTCCTATTTTCATCATTTCTCTGTTGAATTTCATTCGGAATATACAAATGCTTTTTCATATAAAACCACATTCTCTTTCCGCGTACCCTTTTATGACTTCTATTCACCCGTCATCCGTATATATTGAAGTCGCAGCTCATTTGTCATTCCATTTACGCTGAAAGTATTATTATTTCCTTTTTTTAGCAACACGACTTCTCGTGATTGAATTTCTTCTCTTCGCCACCCCATCAAGACCGGCGCTGGCGTCAACCCAGCATCCAATCCAGTGGATATACTGGCTTTTTCTTCGGATGTAAAGTAGGAGTGTGAAACACCCCTGTAGTACATCCGTCTAAATTTGAGGCTTTTGTGTGTGAAACTATACATTCATGCCCCCTATACGCCTTCATGATGTGATGCTTAGTTCAAAGGGAAGAATGCCGTACCTTCACCTGAATTAATAATAATAATAACCTTGTCGTAGTTATTAGGTGGCTAGATTCCGATCGTATGGTTTTAGGGGTCGCTAAAAAAAACTCAAATCCTTGGTTCGAATCCCTGTCGGTGCATCTATATATGAGTTGACCAGACCTAATGTGGTATAGTTATATATTTTCATATCAAATCTAAAACTTCTTGACGATGGTGAAGAGTCAATTGAATAAAAATTTTCTTAGATATTATCCATCGTCTAGTAAATATAAAACGTAAAACGAAACGTCGTCTACATATTTTCAGTTGATTCACTGTAATCAATAAAAATAAGTTTGCATTACAGTTAATGAAATTTTCTAGCAAGAACACAAAATTATCCTACATTTTGTGTTTGATAAAATCGATTTTCTTAATCTCATAAGGTAATGTGAATTGGTCATTGTAGTTATGTGACGATGAGAGGCTGAGACTTTTGAGAATTTCTTATTCGTTTGAGTGTGTTTGTGTGTTGTATATACTGCTGATGTGACTGCGTGTTGTATACGCTAAACTGCAGTATCTCCCAGATGCTGATCTGACAAGTTAACGCTGTGCCTGACGACTCTGCATCCATTACTGATATTAGAAATCTCGAAAACACCTAAATAAAACTAATGTTTAAATAATTCTGAGAACCATTACTAAACTGAATTACTAAAGAAATAAAATTAATCATGGTGAATTAAAGTAACACTTGGAAATAGTATGACTTTTGTTTAGAAATATTATTTTCTGGTAGAAATGTGTATTTTGCTCAGTACATCTAGAAAAATTTGACTGGATACCCTAAAATATGTCATTGCTGCCACATGTCTACTAGCACATTTCTTCTTCGAAATTACTGAACGGTTTTTTTGATTATATTTAGCTCTACATCAACATTTTTAAGATGAATTTTGGCTAATCTAACCATTTTTTCCTAAAAAACAGAATCAAATTTAGAGATATAATTTCTTCAAGTTTTATACAGAGAGTTGAATTTTTAGCAAACTGTATGGAAAAGCATGTTATGACTGTATGAAATTAGTGTGATTTACTTTGTAATAATATATTTGTATCGATGATAATTGTGAATCATACTAACGAGACGCACAAACGTCGCAAATAAAACCTTCTGTCGTCTCCCATTTGTTTTTAAGAAACTCCACCGTCCTTCGTTTTGGGGAATAATTATTCGTTAAACATGTTTTAATAACTGTAGTGCTTATTTATTTAAACTTAGATCTACTCTACGCTGAATTTTGTATTGGATACATTCCGAGTTCAGGAATACAGAAAGGATGACGAATGATTATGATGTTAATAATTATTATATTGTTATTATAATTAATAACAAGTACATTTTAAATATGAGCCGGGATAGCTCAGTCAGTATAGTGACTAGCTACGGGCTGGACGACTGGGGTTCGATCCCCGACGGGGGCAGAGGATTTTTCCTCTAGCCTCTGCGTCCAGACCGGCTCTGGGGGCCCACCCAGCCTCCTCTACAATGGGTACCGGGGTCCTTTCCCGGGGCTAAAGCCGGCCGGGGCGTGATGCTGACCACTCACCCCCATCTAGTGCCGAGGTCAAGGAAGAGAGGAGCTATACCTCCACTCACCCGAAACGCCTACATGGCGTATAGTGGGACAAACTTTACTTTTACTTTACATTTTAAATAAAGTTTTGCAATTGCTGTCGTCGAAGGAAGTAGTAGCCAATCTACATAGTGCAAGTTTCTACGCATCTGCTTGACTGACCACATGAATTGAGTCCAACTGTATGAATTTCTGCACTGAATTCTAACGTTTCTCATTTTAGTTAGATTCACTACTACATCTGACAAGCCAGCTACAGTTTTAGGTAGTTAGCAATAAATTAGAGTAAAAATACATCTAATTTTAAAACAAAACTATTTGAAGAGATTGTCTGAATAATAGAGATGTAAAAGGATTTAAAGAAGACTATAACAAAAGAAAGGGTAATTAATAATTGCAAGGAAAAGAAGAGAGGGAGAGAATAGACGGATAAAGAAAAATGGTTTTTCTCTGCTATAAGACAATTACAATTAGTCACAGAGTCAGATTATTGCATGGTTTCTCTTGTTTTATGTAATGTGTTCAACATTGCAGCTGCTGTCATTAATCGAGTCATTCTATCTACTTTTATTACTTTCGTCTGGTATCTGTACGTGGGCCTACGTGGCACGACCAAGCTCGCAGCATTTTAAAGTTTAATCACTGTCATTTGTAAACCGTGTATATAAGTTCAGTAATCTCTTTGACATTGCGAAGTTGGCAGCATCTACGGTCCATTTGCATGTAAATTTGTAGGCCGTAGTACAAAGTGGACTGAAGAAACCTACTTCATCCGATCAGTTACGCGATCTTACATTCTAGCACCATGGCAAACTTTTGAAAGTAATTTTTCAAATTCGTGCACAACTAACATAAAATGAAGTTAAATTTTCTTGTTGGCATTTACTGATGGTGTTACCTTTAGAGATCTTTTGTTTTGAATAATATGCCATTAATTGTAAGTTTAATTACGTTGAATTACCCAGAATAATTAAGTAAAGAGAAAAAGGCAGTCACAATGACGGACCAAATGTCAAAAAAGAATCGCGCTTCTAAAAAGCTGTGGTGCTTTATTGTGAATGTGCAGGGTGTTTCACAACCGATCTGTCATACATCGTCGGTAATCTTCCTTCTCGCCACAGTTTAGGTGTGGGAAAAACTAGCGTTACCAGTGGATACTAGTATCGAGGTTGAAAATGCCACGATCTTCGCCCCTGCTCTGCTGTTTGTCTTTATTAAGTGGCACTTAAAACACGACGACCTCCTTCTTCAGTAACAGATGTTAGCAATAAGCTTCACCTCACATGGACTATTATTTCTGGCTGTTCAAATTCGAAATTTATTCTGAAATTGTGAATTCTCAGATTTGTATCACGGGGCATCTTTACATACACGTGTGCATAGGAGAACACAACACAGAAAAACACGTACGTGCAGCGAGATTCGAACTCGCGATTTTGCTATTTGTGTGATTCAGGACTACACGCATCCGCGTACCGTCTGTGATCGACACAACTACACGTAAAACGAAAATACGAATGTCTAAAATAACAAGGGGAAATTCAGTTGTTTACTTCAACAAATTATTGTAATTGATTTGGAGAACAATTAGTAGCCCTACATGGATCTCTTAATATATGATATTAATCTGTAAGAAAAATTCTAATCTGGATCTTGTTAGTGTGATGACTCTGGCATTCCTATAACGTAAATTTATCTTATTCACGCAGGTGTTCAGTGAGTATGTTTGTCCTCACCTGATCGCTGCGTTCTTGAGCCAAACCCCGAGGTAAAACTGGGTCTTGCACCGTCATTCACCCCGACCTGGCATCGAGTAAATTTAGTCATGTAACTGTCGTGTTACTCATTGAGTGAAATCGCACCCAGTTAGCGTTGTCACTTCGTGCTTTGAATACCGATACTACTATTGTTTCGAGAAGGAAGATTGGAATGGAAATACAAACGTGGACAGATTTTCAAAGTGAGTGCTTGAAATTGATCCATGAATGAATGAATTTGTGCAGGAATTTTAATTAGCGGTGGCTACATCAAAAGATATTTTATGGTTATACAAATCCGTACGTGATTTAAAATGGTTTTTCAACAATTTTCCATGGAAGTAATTTATGTAGTTTTTACATGTGGAAGAATTTCTGTGCTCATTAAGTATTAATATCTTAAGCCTCACTGACTGGCGAATTTTCTTTGAATTTTCGATATTTTGTCGGCACACATATGGTTGGAATTCGTTGTGAATTGGAATCCATAAATAAGATAATGATGTTCTGGTAAGATGTTACGATTACACACACACTGCTCTGTAAGTAGTTTTGATGTTGATTATCTGATCCAAGACGGGGAAACTGAAATGTGAAGGACAGGCATAGTTCATGGGCTGTTAGTACCATCGAGGAATTTAGTGACTAATTCAGCTCAGCTTATTTAACCACTAAATTCCCCGATGGCTTTATTAATTTGTTCACATCAACCCGCCACTGGTTCACATCACCAGCCAGATGAATTAAGTCCACTACCTACACTGCTTACTTTTTCAGATATTGTAATAAATTATCTTCCTTCTACGTGTAGATTTAGCAAGTCATTTTATTTCATGCTTTCATACTAAAATCCTGTTTACATTTCTTATCTCTCCAGTACTTGTTACATGTCTCTTCCATGCAGTCCCGTTTAATTCGATTACTTTAACATATTTCTAATATTATCAAGAAAATTGTAATGAATATATTATCAATCCCATTACCTTGCCAGGTAAATGTAAGGAGGAGGCTTAAATATGTCTGAAAACTACTCCTGCCTATTCTCCAAGATATTTTTTCGATGACCCTACAGTACTGTTTCCTCTGACATTAGTTGTCCGGTCAGACGGTCGACGCGACCGTCCTCTCGTGTCCCTCCTGCCTCACAACTTTCTACACTATCCATTAAACGAGAAACAGAAGTAGAAGTCTATGTTTCCCTGTAGCTCGTTGGTTTTCAATTAACCTAAGTAATTTAGTACACACTGGTGCCAATTCGGACAGCATTGTGAGGTGACGGTGACCCTAGAGTCAACCCTCATGTATAAATAACCACTTTGAATGGAATGGAGAATGTGCCGGGCATAAACACATCGCAGCGAACACAAAGGTGGGTCGCTTTTTAAAATAGCGACTCGTTACGAACGACCTGGCCATTGGAGGGGAGCCACGTGAGATCCACCGTCCTCGAACAAATTATCAGTGACTGTAATTCGATTTCTTCTGGCAACACAGCGCAGCGCAGATGGTAAGGTTGTTGTGAACTGTCTTGCATCGTTTACCTAAGAAGATACAATGTAATTAATTTGTTCTAGATGTATTATTTTCATCGTACATAAAGTATACTTCAGTGTCGTACAGAAGAGCAAATCTGTATTATCGTAAAGTTGCGTGTGTATTAAAGCGTTGGTTTTCTGCTGGATCGCTCGGGGGTTGCCGACCTGGGACAGTTTTGAACTAGAATTTGAAAGACTGGTAAAGTTAAGGATGTAGACCGTATAAA